TCCTTCTGCTCTATGTGGGTGTGTGCAGCTGTGGGGACTGAAATGTTGCTTTTGCTTTCTGTTGCAGTTTTTGGCACTGCAGAAATGCCCAGTGATCTGAGTCAAGCCAGTTCTCCCAGGACAGGGTCTCCCCTTGCTGCAGGACTCTAGCATCCTTTGCCCATCAGCCACATTGGTAGGATCCCATAGCTTGGGCACCCAGAGTTTATTAGTCACTGTGAAGATGATGGCCCTGTGTGACATTCCTTTTCTCTCACTTGGTGCACACCCTCTGTATTCATCGCCATGACAACTGTGTGCCCTTTTGCTATACTGTTATACGTTTCTGTGAATTTCTGTGGTGAGGGGCAGGCGCATATTGAACACCACTAACAACAGCATGGGATGTTCTAGGAATGGGGCAGGATGCTCTCTGGTCAAATATTTGCCACTTTTATGAACTTTCTGTAATTCTTCAAGACTTTCACCAGTTCTTTAATCCATTCACGTACCTTCCTTGGAGTCATTTATTAAAGGATCTTTGTGAATGAAGCAAGGTCATGGAGGGATGATTTTTGCAGTACTGGTACAAAAAAAGAGACAGCAGACAACGGATGCATTTCAAAGCATCTGGAAAGGCCACAGCTTTACTGATTAGTTCACCAGTAGATGGGAAAATCTGTGTCTCAGCCTTGAGCTGACTCCCTGACCTCTCATTGCTGCTGCCCTTGTCTGCACTTGGCTTTGGGTTCAGTTATACAAGCTGACACCTCACAGGAGCTGCTCCAGCAGTGATGTACCCTTTGCCAGTACCTTTGATAAGGTCCCCCTTTGGAAGTGGTGATGTGCTAAGTTCTCAATCATGGCAAGTTACCTCTCAGTACAGAGAGGAGGGAAAGAAGATTGGGGTTAAGATCAAATGGAGAATCTCAAGTTGCTGCTGTCTCCTCTGTGCCTGCCTCATAGATAACCCAAATACTTCAGTTCCCAGGGCTGGTCATCAGTTAACTTCTACTTAACCTTTGTCAGCTCAGTAATTAATGCCACCTCCATTCCCCCTCCTACTGAAAATAAATACATGAAAAAACAGGAACCTGGTCTCATGAGACAGGATTTATGTTGCATGGGGCACTCTTTTCACAATCCCAACTGTAGAGGAAATGAAGCCCTATACTGAATCTCTGTCACATTAATGAATTTAGCGCTTGCTGTGAGACAGGGGTATGGCTCTTTACTCCTTGAGATGTGCTATACACACAGTTAATTCAGTTTCTTCTATTGACTCCTTTGGGGTTTGTGTCCATTCCTGGGACATACGTTTGGACAGGCCTATGTGTAACCTCTCTGAAAAGGGTCAAGGACAACTGAAATAGCTCATCCAATTTAAGTTTTCAAAGTAAGCCTCTCCCAATTTGCTGAGGAATGTCAGATTGCATGAGGTGTTTTTCTGTTCTTATTTATAGAGAAAAATAGCCAGTAATAGTAGACATTAATAGAATTAAGTCTCCATGTAAACACACTTAATCCTATTCTGTCTTAGGTTAAACCACTGTGGAAATGGATTAAATCCAACCACATGAAAAAATTCCTAATATGGAAAAATTTGGTAATGAAAAACAACTATTACTTCTAGAATTCACATCTGTCTTTTCCCCCTGCCCAGTTCTTTGTCTGTATAAGAGGATCTTACTTTTCTTTTACTTGTACATTTTCTAGTGATATCAAGTAGTCCTGACCAAGACTAGATCCTTGCTGTGCTAGGCATAGCGCTCCCTTGGTTGAGGGTGGATGTCCTGAAGAGGGGACAGTCTCCAAGGGGTGACACAGGGGTGACAAGGTTTCCTCAGGATGAGCAAGTAGTTCAGTGCGTGAATGAGGACCAAGACCCTGGTCTCCAAAGTGCCGTAATCTCACAGTGTCAGCTGTGATATGAGAATCTGCTTCACTCTTGATCTCATCTCAAGAGTGAAAAAGAAAATAGCAAGCAGCTATGAACACATACAGGTGACAAGAGAAAGCCAAGGGGAGGGGAGGCACAGGGCTGTGCATCATCCCACCTTTGCTCCCTTGGAAATACAGCTCCACTAAAATAGATCAATCTTGAATTCTTGACTCCCAGCTAGCTCATGGATTTCCAGGTCCCTTGGCATTTTCTGTGCTAATTCAGAGTGTAGCAGGTTTGCTTCTTCAAAGGAACTGGCTATAATTGTTCCAGGTTGTAGCACTTTCTGTCCCAAGCAGAGAAAGAGTAAAGGATTTACTGAAGATGCTCCTGCCTGCATCCTACAAGAGCTGAAGGAACAATCTCCTCCTGGGGAAGTGACAGCAGGACTTTGGGAATGTGTCTTCTCCCTTGCATGGGTGTAAAGTGGGGAGAAAGGCCACGACCATGAGTGGTTACTGCATCCTTGGTCTCACTTGGCCAGAGCAGATTTTTCTTTGCAAATCTGATGGTTTTTGTCACCTTGGCTGCCCTTCCCTGCAGCAGGGATGCATTCAGCTTTCCCCAAAGTGTTGGCCCCATGCTGAGGCATGGCGGCGCTCAGGCTCAGACCCCCGTGCCACTAGGTTTGGCTCATCCAAGTGATGTCTGGCCAAGGGGTTCTGGGGCAAAAAAACCCATAGTGATTTCCTGGCTTTCAGAAGGGCGCGCTTCAGGAGTATGAGGTACAGGTAGTGTCAAATTAGTGAAGTCTTGGCTTTTCTTCTGCAGAAGGCAGCAGCAGCAGCAGTCACGGATATTTATATTCTGTGCAGGGAGATAACCTCTGGCTGGAGAAGTTTTGAACTGAGAGGAGAAAAGGGAGAAATGAAAGAACAAGAATAGACTGGGGAAAAAAAGGGAGGTGAGAGTAGTTTTCAGTGAGTTGCAAATGTTTGGAGAGGAAACAAAAAATGGTGCTGTGTTCTTTGTTGTTGTCATTCTGGTCTTTATAAACAGCTGGCAGGACTGCAGTTGTCAAAGTTACCTTGTGCCTCTCCTGGCTGCACATTCAGTGCTGCACTGGACACAGAAGTGCTGCGAGTCCCTGCCACGCTGCAGGCAGCTGCCTGCCTTGCAGCATCCCCAGCTGCCCCTGTCCACCACCTGCAGACACAAGCTGGCTGAGGGATAGGAGGGTGCTCAAGCTGTGAAATAGTCATGGGCAGAGAGCAGGAAAACGTGGGGTAAAGGATGTTTTCCTCACCCCAGATGTTTTCAGGGACTCAGCCAGTCTCTTCTGGCATTGGGCAGAGCAGCACAGCAGGACAGGGAGAGCAGGGGAGGAACCAGCCATCTTCCCTGAGACACGGCTTGGGAACACATCCTTGCAGCTGGTTGCTTTCAGCATTGCATCATCTGCCAGAGGTGCCACCCTGCCCTCCAGGGAAAGAAAGGCACAAACAAAAACAACACAACCCACCTTCCAAATCTGCATTTAGAGAGCGTGGCTTCAATTAAATGCAATGACTTAATTTTGAATCAAGGGCAACTCCTCTTGCATTTATTTGCTGTCCCCAGTGGCTTGTCTGAGAGAGAGTTGCTCCATGAGGGTAGGCGCTAATGAAGGGGAGCTTCCAAATGAGTGTATGTGTTGTTGCATCTAGGTCAGAGGAGTCAGATGAAAGTATCTTCCATGTTTCTGTCTTGGTTGTTTGTTTTTTTTAAACTGGGCTTCTAATAAACATGTTAACTTTCCAAATTATTATAAGCAGCTGCATCTATCAGCAGCACACAAGGATATATTTACTGTGTTTGAAAGCTCTCTAACGAAGCTTTGAAGTCCAGCTCATCTCAGATTCGTGCAGGGAAGGAGGTCTAGCCATCATGGCACTCCTCTGTTGACTTCTGAAGATATGAGACTTGAAAGCAACTGTTTCTTTGCAAATGTGGACAGGCATGAGAAGTCTTTTTATAAAAAGTAAGCAGATACTCAAATATGGATACTCAAATGGATACTTCAAAACCTACATCTGACTGTCACAGAGTTTTGTTTGTGTATTGCAGGGGATTTCTTTTCTTACCAACACTAAGCCTACACAGTCCATATTTGCATTTAATCACGTGCTGCTTTTCACTTTATTGTCATCGTCCAGAGAACCAGAGTTTCCCTATCCTGCCTCAGTCCCACATTCAAGAAAACTGCATGAACCTAAAAAAAATTAAGGAGATTTCGTATGAGTAACATGCATAAAGTCAACAGAAGGGTTTTTACTCTTTGGATCCTTCCACAGCTTGAGGCTCAGATGCCTTTTTCTACAGATGCCTGAGAGATGCTGCAAGGTGAAGTAACTGCAGCATTAAATGGCATGGCATCATGAAATGGTGGGTATTGCTGGGTTTTATAATCACCCACTCCTGTTATGGTGCTTATCCATGATGCTCCCAGTACACCCACACATATTAGACATAGAAACTCTCCAGGAAAGGCTTGTGTTGCTGTGTGAAGCCACACAACACAGCACATGGAGAACCTAATCACACCCTCCAGGCACTCCTACAAAACTAACAATAAGCAAAGCTGAAAAGTATTGGGCACATTTGGATTTTCCAGTCTCTGGGAGGGTATGTATGTTGAATTAAACTTACAGCTATGTAGTCTCCATTGAATTACTGTTTCCTTTTGATCTCTTCTAAAGATAGTGATGGAGCAGGTATGAGTGCGAGTAATGGGTAGGTAGGTATCGTGGTATTTGGGTTCTTGCTCGCTTGCTTTCTTGTCTTTATTCCATTTCTTTCCTTCTCTTGGTGTCAAGGTATTTTTAGTTCTTTAAGGCTGTATCTTCTGCATCAAAAATAAAGGTGAAACCCACTTTTCATCTATACTTTTAAGAAAGTGTGTGTGTGTGTATGTATATGTACCCTATACATGCAGTGGCATATATCTGATCAGCTCCATTTGAATTCACTACGAAAAATCTAAGATAGAAAGGAAGGAGAAATGGTTGTTCTCTCAATACCATTTCCCCATCTCCCTGTAATGTTTGCCATACACGATATCCTTTGGGTACTGACTCTGTTATGGATTTATCCCCTATAGATCATCTTCCGGAAGATCAGCGATGTCAAGAAGGAAGAAGAGGAGCGCCTGCGCCAGAAGAACGAGGTGACGCTGAGCATCCCTGTGGACCACCCTGTGCGGAAACTCTTCCAGAAATTCAAACAGCAAAAGGAGATGCGTAATCAAGGCTCAACCCACATCGACCCGGAAAGGAACCAGCTTCAGGTGGAAAGCCGGAGTGTGCAGAATGGGGCCTCCATCACAGGCACCAGTGTGGTCACCGTGTCTCAGATCACCCCCATCCAGACGTCTCTGGCTTACATGAAAACCAGTGAGGCCGTGAAGCAGAACAACAGGGATGCAATGGAGCTGAAGCCAAATGGAAACGGAGACCAAAAATGTCTCAAAGTAAACAGTCCCATGCGGATGAAAAACGGGAATGGGAAAGGGTGGCTTCGACTGAAGAACACAATGGGGACCCACGAGGAGAAGAAGGAGGACTGGAACAATGTCACGAAGGCTGAGTCCATGGGGTTGCTGTCCGACGACCCCAAGTGCAATGACTCAGAGAACGGTGTAAATAAAAACCCACTGAGGAAAACAGACTCTTGTGACAGTGGAATAACAAAAAGTGACCTTCGCTTGGATAAAGCTGGTGAGGCTCGCAGCCCCCTGGAGCACAGCCCCATTCAGGCTGATGCTAGGCATCCTTTCTACCCTATTCCTGAGCAGGCCTTACAAACCACGCTGCAGGAAGTCAAGCATGAACTCAAAGAAGATATCCAGCTGCTAAGCAGTAGGATGGCTGCCCTTGAGAAACAGGTGGCAGAAATTTTAAAAATATTGTCTGAAAAGAACGTACCCCAGATCTCTTCCCCCGAGTCTCATTTATCACCCCAGCAGCCCCCCCAGATATCCTGTCAAGATATTTTTAGTGTTTCAAGGCCTGCATCACCTGAATCAGAAAAAGATGAAATCCACTTTTAGCATATACCTATGTGTATATATGTATACAGTATATATGCAGAGGTGTATATATACCTTTATACATATATATGTGTGTGTATACGGTAAATATATATACATATATATTTTCACTTGCATCCAATATGACTTGAACACACCAAGGATTTTGATATGTAAATATTGCATGTCCAGCTGGATTCTGGCCTGCCAAAGAAAACAATTATTAACATAGATATTGCTTGTATAATATGCAGTTGACTGCATGCACACTTTACATTTATTTATAATCTCTATTATGTAATAAAAGAATGACTTTTGTTTAACAAAGGCAATGTACTATTTAAAGAATCAGGGTCTAACCTGCCAATATTGCCATGACAGTTTTGATCTCAGGCTGGGTGAATTGAGCTTTTATTTCCTCACTGTCTTTTCTGCCGAGTTAAACAGTAGATTAACATGATGTGGAGGACATGTTCAGACTCCAATTAGTATTGTTTCCTGGAATCATTCCATTACAATATACTGTATATTTGGTGATAAATTCCCCTACTCCTCCTAAAGGGAGGGCTCAGCTCAGTGGCCAGGGAAGGGCACCATGTCTGGTGCTGGGATGGATCACTGGAATTTATTCGTGTGGGTATTGTGCATGCACAGCCTTTTGTTTCAAGTATCCTCCTGCTCTTTTAACATCGTAAGTAAGAAATAATAATGGTGATTTATGTAACAAAGTGAAACTAAGAGAAACTCTCTCAGCTGCACTCCCTGAGTGTTTGGGGGTAATTTCTTTCCTGAAAGCCTCCTTTTACTGATGCCATTTTTACTGAACTGTTAAGGTAACATTATGTAGATTCTCTTTGCAGCACTCAGCAATGGTGTCCGGTTCTGTCAGTATCTTCATTAGGATGTTCTGTTTTTGCAGGGTTGAGGTTGCTCTCCCGCTGTCCCCCCCCATTGCCCCTGGCAGAAAGACTTTGCACAAGGTCTGAGCAAGGGAGAGAACAATTGTAGTTCAGCTCCTCGGGAGCCATGTGAGCAGGTTTGAAAGCCTGAAGTTAAAAGGCTGCAGTTAATCCCCCTCCACTCTTTTCTGAGGACATTTATCAGTCTGCAGCTGCCTTTGAGAAAGAGTGAAAATAACCAGTCAAGATGAAATTCCCTTTAGTCCAAGGTACCTGGATGATAACGTTTGGGTGGGAGAGTGGTGGGTGTGTTGGGGAGATGAAGTCCTCCCTAGGGTGCTGCCCGCTGCTCTTGCCTTGGACTTGTGGAAGGTTTCAGTGCATGGGGGGGGGGGAATGCTTCAAGAGCAGGCTTGCAGTGCCCACACAGACAGTTGTCATGCGTACTAAGTTCCTTAGGTCTGTGTCAGATGCTCTGACCCTCCTCTTAGCTGGCTCCCATCAGCATCTCTCAGTCTTGAACCATGCTCAAACCCCTTCTCCACCTCCTAGGCTGGAGCATCACCCTCCACGCAGCACTGTTGGCTTCGCAGGGCTGCAACAGGCAGGCTTTTGCACTGGATCCTGTTCTCCTCTTTGGAGCTGAGGTTTTGGGCTCTGCCTGGGTCTCCACCTGAGTGTGGTGGGGGTTTTTTGCCTCTCTGTTGGCCCTGGGTTTGAATCCAGATACACATGATGCTCAGCAGAAATGGCCATCACAGCTTCAGAGCTGTTAGCTGGTGCAGCTTGAGGCCAGCCCAGCCAACTGCAGTGGCTCCTTCAGAGAAAGATTTCCCCTTCACACTTAAATGGCCTCTTGCATCAAGATCCCATGTTTTCAAAAGTGCCTGGAGTAAAACATGTATGTACCACAAGGCATCACTATTAATCAGGTAAATAAAAGACATGTTTATAATTAGTAGGCATCCTTACCAGACACCAATACTAGATCCATTACTTAACATTAGGAAACTAAACTAAATTGCTTCCTCAAAAAATAGAAAAGAACAAAACCAAAACCAAAAAACAAACCATCATTTGCAGTAGTGGTAATTAGGAACCTGCATCTTGGGGTGAACATATCTTCTACTGTGAAATCCAGACCCATAAACCTCCAGAAGTTCATAAGAAAGCCAAAGAAGTCATTGCTTCTGTTGTGTCAATTTGTGGAGGCTTTCTGGGAGATTATGGTCTTTCTCATTTGCTGTTCCTTTCTGTCCTGTTTCTGCCCCTTCTCCAGTTCCTTTCTTTAGGAAATTACAGACAAAAAAAAGGAAGCATAAGAAGCCGCTGACAGGGACAGCTCTTCCCAGAGCCTGGGAACTCATCGCAGTTCTCCACAGCTGCAGTTGCCACTGTCAAAACTTTCAGCTGTATTTTGCCGCCGCTGTTCTGAAACAAGTGTAAATCTGTAACTCTGCAACCATTCTTTGGTCTGCAAGGACAAACTGCACTTGCAGAACAGCAGGGCCTTCATGGTCCTACTCTAAATCCTACGCTGGGACTCTGAAAGAAAGGTTGTAGGGTTAGGGAGTTACAGGGTTACTGCAGGCTGCTGGAGTATGTTCAGACCTTGTGGGTACAATTTAAGTGCCAAGCTTTGAAGATTTGAATGTTCTTACCTGGCTTGGGTTGCTGGTTAAGACAGACACACAATGACTGCCCAGAGCTGCCCAGTGAATAGCTGAGTCATGCAGGCTGTCTGGGGGCCAGATTTTGGTAAAGGTCCTTGAATGCACAAATATGCTGTGATGTGACGCTGCAAATGACCAGCAGGGTAATGGGCGTGACTTTGTTAGAAAGCTTTAGCCTTAATGGCATTTCTCTGCCTTTGTGAAGGACTGCTTTTCTTTCTTTGTAACTGATAGAACTGCATGGCATGCAAAGGGATCTCTATTTAGGTTCATCCTGCAAGTCAGGTGTAACTTTGTGCCACTTTACAATGAGAGAACATGTAACAGGATCAGTCTGACCTTGAAAATTATTTGATCCCAGAATGTCTATTACAAGACTGGTTGAAACGTGTAGAGACTAAAAGCTATAAATAGTGTAAAATATGAAGTTCATGAAACAAACACGGTGTTTCCAGGCCTACTTCTGGTCCTGCTTTGATTCTGATATTCCAATACTGTTCATTGCAAGTTCAGTGAAACCAGCTTGTACCTCGTACGAGGCAGTAGCACAATGGATGTCTTGCAAACACAATAAATGCAGCCTGCAGGTGGGCTGTCCCAGGCTAGAGGCCCAATGTGTGGGGTTGACTCTGGTGGCTATTGCTCTGAAAATTTGGCTTGTACGATTCTGAAGTACTTTGCCTCCAAAATTTAATGATCAGAGCGTTACGTGTTGTTTCATGGAGTTGTTACCGGGGCAGTGGTTTAGCTTTCCCATCCCCTCATGGTTGTGCATGATGCCCTTGAGTGTGCTGCCAACTGGAGTGTTCCTTTTCTGTTAAAGAAGCATGAGTCATAGCTTGCAGTTCAGGCTTGACTGAAAGCAACCACCTATAGTCCTAAGTGCAATAAGGACACAAACGAGTCTCTTCCACCTAAGCCAGTGCTTAAGCAGCTACATGCCGCATGGAGGGAGCTCTCGGCTGCATGCTTCCCTTTCCTCGAAGATGTACAGATGTTCCTGCCACGTGCTGGTAACAGCATTCTTAGCACTTACCTTGTGCTTTGTGTGTTCAAAGCATTTTACCTGCACACAAGTGGATTTTATCTTTCTGGACTTTGGAATAGAAATCAAATGTGTACAGAAAAGTAGACACTTTCCAAAGCAAATGAACTAGAATACCTTTAATAGCATTTTTGTGTGATGTTACATATACGAGACAGAACAGCTCTTCAGAATAATAACTGAAAAAAATTGTTGTAGTGAAGATTCAGTTCTTCTGAATCTGTATTTGTAAATCCTTTTTTCCACTTTTCTTCTTTGCCAGGGGACAGGGGTTAGAGCAGAGCTGACTCTGGAAGTGACAAACTTAAGCTTTGCCCGTTTTTCTTTTCCCTGTTTTGCAGAAGTAGCACAACTCTAGGGTCTTGATGCTGCTGGCACCAAAGTTTGGGCTCATTGCTAGATTCAAATTCAGTCTTCATTTACCACCACATGGCAAGCAACTCTCTTACACAGGTGTGAACTGAAGGTTGAATCTGATGAATCATAATGGACCTTAACGTGTATTTGGGATCCCAGGACAATTTTAGAGAACTGGAAGCTGCAGAAATAATTTTGTACTATTTGCAAGCCATGAGCAGTCGCTCTGGAGGTAACTGATACTGTTATACAGATGTCATCATTTGCATGGGTCAGAAAACAGATGTTGTACTCATGAAATAGCTCAGAGTCTTTTTGGGGAAAAAGATGTCCTGAACTGGAAGGGAAAATAAAATCCAAAGTTTTAATGTGGAACTGGGAAGTGAGGAGGTAGAGCGATATATTATAATGAATTGACACTTTTTTACTTGGATTTTGAGCATTTAGAAAACCCAAACCTATCTTTTGGGATGTCAGAATTGGGCAGATTGTTTGTTGAAATATTTTTTTCTAAGTGAGGTGGCATCAAAGTGATACCTGTTTTTTAAAAAAAGTGTTCAAATACCATTTTCCTATGGAAGAGGGTTTTAACAGGTTTTGTTACTGTTGTTTTTAATGTGCTGTATCTAAAGGCTTTTTGCAGTTCTTGTTTTGTACTAGAAGCTCCCGTGTTAATGTATACCTTCAGGTCTATAGGATCTATAATGCTTTATAGTCTTGCTGCTAACATACTTATACAGAGGGTTTGAGAAGTGGTTACAGAAGGGTTGGAGAAGAGCATCTCTCCATAGCAGCCCAGGCTCTGTGACTCTCCCATCCTGACCTGCACTGAGAGCTGTGAACACTAAACAGCAGTAGTTTGCATTTTTCTTGGCACTTTTGGATCTGCACTGATATCCTTCAGGGAATTTAAGGAAGGAAATAGAAAAGTGGACACTTCTTCTGGATGGCCTCAGTCCTTCACATATGTCTGTGCTGCCAGAGCAGCACTTTCCTGTGGAGCCTACAGGGAGGAAAAGTTTGATCCAGCTAGATTTCCACATCTGG